TCAATGTCTCTAAGAGCTGAGGGCTTGACAATATTAATTTTTGCACCTGAGTCAAGAAAAACTTTTAAAACTCTACCATGTACAATGGCTGATACAAGGGGACCATCACTTGAGACTGGACAAGTTACTATTTTTGACTTATGTTGTCTGGGATATCTGCGTCTTGTTTGTGTCAAATTTACTGTGGATCCGTCAACATCTACAACTGGTCTAGAGTCAGTGTCCTCCTCTGTCAAGTGTCCAAATCTATTTTGGGTAGCTACTGAATACACAGGGAGGGCACTAGGATTGGCTAGCTTGAATTGGTTAGCGGATGGCCTTGGGGGTTTCCCGACGACATGGAGTGAACATTCTGAGCTCCAGCATTCTGTGACTGAGCATTATAATTTGAAATTGCATTATAGCTGGGCTGGGAGTTGTAATTACGAGAGTTCTGATAATGTCTTGGACGCTGTGAGCCTCGCCAAGACTGACCATGGGAGTTACGAGGTGGAGATGTCCTTTGCCTAGCTCTACAATCCGCAGTGTGGTGACCAACTTGTTTATGGTACGTGCAATATGGAAGCCTAGAATGATTAGATTGATGAGGGGGCCGAGAGAATTGTCTAGGAGGTGATGATCTAGGGGCGGACCAACAGTCCCTTGCAAGGTGGTTACTCTTACCACAATGCCAACATGAGGGAGTGGATGGTTGTGGACTATGGCGTTTCGGCATTTTATGAGGCGGCGAATTTGACTGGGGGCTACGAGCATGGGTACGCTTCTGCGACCAAGAGTTTTGAGAATTTGTGGGAGGATGCTGAGAACTTGTAACTACATTTACAGCATCAGAGGGTGGCAACAGTTGAGCACTTCGGGGAGCTAGTTTATCGGCGGCATTGTTAATAGCCTCAAACACTTCACCAATTTCATGTTTAACACCAAAATTTTGTTGCTCAACGATTGGTTTTGTATGCTCGGGGGCAAAATGCATTAAAGTACCAAATGCTATCATTTTGGCCATAGCCTCAGGGGACAGATTATTGTCTTTATCTAACCAAGTCGAATTATTCATAGCAGAAACTAAGGCATACAGATACTGATCGAGACGGCTAGTAAACGCATTAAACGATTCACCAGGCTGCATGGTGGCATTGGCAATTTTCTTGACTAACCTATATGGGTCAAGGTCTCCTTTATTAACAAAGCGACGGCGAAAGAAATCCTTAAATTCAGGCCAAGACTGGAGGCTAACAATGGCTTTCTCATCAACAACAAAACGTGCATCACCTTTGGTTGTGTCCACGGCTGACCGTGCAATTGCTAAGTATTCGGCATCAGTAGGCTTAGAAAAACGTGCAACTGTTTTCGCTTCAACCTTACTAAACCATGATTCTAATAAACGCGATTCCCCAGCAAAAAGAGGAATAGCCATTTCCTGAGCTGATCTCTGGCCATTGGGACAAGCAACTGTTCCCATTGATTCTGAAGGGGTTTCAACAGTGGTAGGCATTGTCACAGCCGTGGAAGTAATATTTGAACGCAGATTATAATTAAGTGCACCTGGCATCAGAAATAGTATACACAAAAATAAACACAAAAAAATATCAACTTGGCTAAAGTAAAAATGGCAGAAATAAAATTATTAAATTGGGCTAGGCAAGAAAATAATTAAGAACAAGCAATTGTAAACTAAATTTAGCAATCTTTCATTAAAAAAATGACTGGAATTAGATGTATGTAAATTAATTAAACCAGACTAAGCACAGCAATTTAGAATAAAAACTGGGAAATGCAATTGCAAAATTTCATTAAAAAGATTCAACACAACAAGTGGCAATGCAAGAAATATGGATGTAGCACATAAACTGGACACAGGAATGTATATAACTCCTATGGTAAAAGTTTAAAATAAAATGCTTAAAGGATAAATTTCAAGTTAGGTCTGGAGAAATTAAAAAAAATTATATTGCACAAATCCTTAACTGCTACTAAAACAAGGATTTCTTAATTCACTGGAATTTGAATTTACCAATAACACTCTAGGAGAACAATTAAAATTCAATGAAATTACTGTAAGAAGCAGGAATGTTGAAATCACACAGGAAAACTGTGGGGAGTGCAGTACTGAACCAGCTCCAATATTTAACAAGTCACTGAATGGTTAATTCACAGGATATTATGGGAATTATTACATAAGTCACTTTTTAACACTTGGCACGTTGTTCTCAACTAGCAATTACTTATCTCAGGGTTGTAATTTATGAGGATCACCAGTAGCCAAAGTAGGAGAAGCGTCGTGAAGATCTGAAGAGGCCCATGTGAGGCGTGTTTACAAACTGGATGCGACGGCAGCGCTCCTGGCGGCGGTGGCGCGAGACTCAGGGACCCCACACTGTTCAGGCTAGAGGCACGAAGATAAATTCTGACGACGACAATATTGCGACGATGGAATAACCAGTTGATACCTGCGACGATGGCTGACGACGATTGCAGTAGCTTGCACCCTCACGAAGCTTGATACTGTCAGCTTGGGTGGCGGTGGTGGTGGTGGTGGGTGTAATAGGTGGTTCCCACGTGGTGGCGCGAGGTTCAAAAATGGCTGGCGCGGGAAGCTTCCTTCCTCCTCACTGATGAGTGAGCGTTCTCACAGGAAAATATTGACCCTTACTTCTAAAACGTTAGCCTGGAGTAGTGGTTGATGGCAGGACCCCGGTCTGGCACAATATTTGATGCGTGGGTGGCAGGATGGCGGCTTATGGCGGTGGCGGTGGCGGCGGTTTTGGCTGGAACACGAGGCGATGCTGGGTACTGGAACTTTTGCTTCCAGAAAAAATTTCTGGATCCCACTGCTGCTACCAGTATTCGTTTGCCTTGTTCGGGTTGAATGTACACACAGTAGTCGCTTCTGTATATATTTATTGAGTGAGGCAAACAGGTGTATAACTGGCCAGCCGAGGTCCACCTACTCTGGGTCTGTGAGGATAACTGAGGCTGCTGGGAGCATCGCTGATGCTCCTCTGTCTGGCATGACGTCAGAGGCCTACTTGCCTGTGATTGGTTACATTTCAACTGACAGAATTTTGAGTATAACACACACACACACACACACACAATATCTTGGTGTGATATCATATCTATGGTGCCCATATCTTAAGAAGCACATCAACAAACTGGAAAAGGTGCAAAGACATGCTACTAAGTGGCTCCCAGAACTGAAGGGCAAGAGCTACGAGGAGAGGTTAGAGGCATTAAATATGCCAAAACTAGAAGACAAGAAAAAGAGGTGATATGATCACTTCATACAAAATAGTAACAGGAATTGATTAAATCGATAGGGAAGATTTCCAGAGACCTGAAACTTTAAGAACAAGAGGTCATAGATTTAAACTAGCTAAACACAGATGCCGAAGAAATATAAGAAAATTCACTTTCGCAAACAGAGTGGTAGACGGTTGGAACAAGTTAGGTGAGAAGGTGGTGGAGGCCAAGACCGTCAGTAGTTTCAAAGCGTTATATGACAAAGAGTGCTGGGAACGAGCGTAGCTCTCATCCTGTAACTACACTTAGGTAATTACACACACACACACACACATTCCCAGGAAGCAGCCAGTAGCAGCTGTCTAAATCCCAGGTACCTATTTACTGCTAGGTGAACAAGGACATCAGAGTGAAAGAAACTCGGTCCATTTTTTTCTGCCTCTGCCGGGGGATCAAACCCAGGCCCTTTGGACTACGATCCCAGAGCGCTGTCCACTCAGCCGCAAGGCCCTAGGACAGAACACTATGGCCTCATGAACATAGAACACACACGAGTAATGTGTGTGTGTGTGTGTGTGTGTGTGTGTGTGTGTGTGTGTGTGTGTGTGTGTGTGTGTGTGTGTGTGTGTGTGTGTGTGTGTGTGTGTGTGTGTGTGTGTATGTGTGTTCTACACTGCGTTTGCAGTGTTTGAGTTTTAGCTCCTGGGCTCAGTTTTTTTATCATCGGTTATATTGAGTAAATTCCCTGCTCTCTTGCTCTTTGCAATATCAAGTACTTAAAAGTATGTATGCTTAAAAGTTAGCCTCTACTTATTTTCATTTCATTGTCAATCCACTGCTCACTATCCTCACACTGACCATTTCACTATACTATCCTCACACTGACCATTTCACTGTATACTATCCTCATACTGATCATTTCTTACTTCTTTTAGCTTGTCCAAGCATCCAATTTCTACCTTTGTGTATTTCAGCTGTATATTTACCTCAGTTTGAGTAGGTCGAGATTCAGCTCTTTGGTCCTGCCTCCCAACATTTATTCAACTGTTGTACAGGTTTCCAAAGCAATTAGGTTCTGACATAATCCTATATATATAAAGCTTTAACTACATTCTGTCTCCAAAACTTTAGTCTTTAGATCATTAAACAAAAAAAATCACTACTCTTACACTTAAAAGGTTATTTCTAAAGTCCATGTGACTCATCTGGGTAAGTAATGTCCTTCTGCTCCCCACTTGATCGTGTGTCACTCTAAGTAATCTGATTTTATGTAGTAATCAAAATATTTATGTTTTATTGATTAAAATAATTATTGTTGGATATTTTGATGCAGTTAATTAATATATTGCGATAAAGCTAGCAGATTATTTAACATATCTGAAATAAGAGTCGTTATTTGTGTTTGTAAAAGTATCAGCCGTCTTTATTAGTAGTAAAGTTTGTAAATAAAACTAACTTTAATAGTAATCGCGAGTGTTGTCAATATATTATGTGCAAACTGTTAGTTGTACACCTGCTGATCACTCATGGACCCGCTGGTTATATTATTCACCTGTTGGTCAATAATATAACCAGCGCTGAATATATAATTCAGCACCGTGGAGAGGGGGGGACCTGCTGCATGGGTAACAGCTTCTCCCCCGAATCAACCTACCCAGGCTTTGCCCCCTGGTGAGATCATTCCAGATCGACAACCAGAGCGCAACTCCATAGTCTCCTGAGACTGATGGATGCCTACTACTACTACTGTTGGTCAATAGTATCACTAAACTTCACGTTTCTTTCTTCCAATACAGGTGAAAAGCCGTACATGTGCACTGTGCCAGGGTGTGGGAAGGCCTACTCCAACTCCTCCGACAGGTTCAAGCACACAAGGACCCATTTCGTGGACAAACCCTACGAGTGCCGCCATCCAGGCTGCGGGAAGCGCTACACTGACCCATCCTCCCTCAGGAAACACGTCAAGATATACGGTCATTACCGCCGGCCGGATGACCAGAGCCCTTCCTTTTCCGTGCCCCCAACCACACCATCCGATCTCTTGGATCCCTCCGTGGCTACTTCGGCTAGGCTTGACCTCTCGCCTTCACCCTCTTCTTCAGGGTCATCGCTCGTCCCCTCTCCGGTGCCCTCTACTCCGTCTCCTTCGCTACTCCCCCCGACCTTGTTCTCAGGGGCTCCGACGGGGCACAGCATTGGTATGGGGGCGGCTGGTATCCCCTCTTGGGCACCTGTGACAGCGGCGGCGTGGACGGTGGCGCTGCAGCAGTACCAGGCAGGGCTCTTCCTGCAGGGAGGGGCTGGGCTGGCAGGGCTCGGGGGACTCCATCCTCATCCACACATGGTGGAAGAGGAGGAGGAAGAGGACGAGGAAGAGGAAGTGGAGACAATGGATACGGCAACGGCTCTTGACCTATCCATGTGTCCCTCACCTCTTGACCTCTCCCTCCCTTCCTCCCGTTCCAAGCACCAGTAACTGCGCAGGAACGGTGAAACAACAGTGGAACGGCAGCCTCGAAACGGTGCAACGAAGACAAAACTGGAATTAGTCATGTATTAAACTCCAAATACGACAGACTAGTTGAATAGTTACAGACGAAATGGGTCGCAACAGACCAGCTACATTGGCTTCTACCCTTAGTCTTGTCCAGCGCCTCTTGTGCACCCTCCAGAAATTTAATTATACAAACATTAATTTGTGCATTCGAAATGCGTGAATTTATTCCATTTAGTGTAAAAACATAATAACATCTTTTTTTTTAAATTGCTCCAAGACTTTACATCAAGAAATGTTGATTGCTGGACAAGAGAATGTAAGCAAACCTATGAAAAGATGTATATGTATATATTTAGATAGAAACATCACAGTGAAAATTACATTATATATATATATATATATATATATATATATATATATATATATATATATATATATATATATATATATATATATATATATATATCTGTGAGGTTTATATATAAACCTCACAGAGGCGATGGTTCTGTCTCCAGTTCGTCTTTCGGACCAAACTGAACATTTTTATTTACACTTTAATCGCTGACTTGTGCCAAAAGACTTTATGCCCAAACTAGGAAAAATCTTGAAAATATTTACTTCATAACTGAGAACTGTACAAAATAAAATGGTATTCCTCTTAATCATCTGGCCCGCCCGCGATGCATTTTTGAGCTCAGAAATAAATCGAAGCCGCTGACTTTTTTGATCGTGTAAATACCAAAAATAAGTTTCCATTCGTTCTGGGAAGCTCTTTATGTGATATCAAGTGTCTTCTTAGGATATCATGTGTGTGTTCGTGGTATATCAAGTGTCTTGGCGGAATATCAAATGTCTTGGCGGGATATGAAATATCTTGCTGTGATATCAAGTGTCTTGGTGTGATATCAAGTGTCTTGGTAGGATATCAAGTGTCTTATTGTGATATCAAGTATCTTCGTGTGATATCAAGTGCCTGTCTCGTAACAGAGATGCATCCAGTATTACCATATCAAACCGTCCACCAATTGCGCAGTAGGCTGTCTGGTAAAACTAAGTTGTACCTGTACATATATAAATACACAATACTCGACATTTTTTTTTCTGACTATAGAATACGTAATCTCTAGTGAGGGGGGGACTGCAGCGTGTGCATATCGAAAGGAACTTTGTGAAACCTGAAAAATTAGCTGTCCGTGCTACGCAGCAGCGGTGGGGCAAGCAGTTTTTTTTCTATCACAGACGTGGCCACCCATTTATACAATGCTAATCAGCATTTATATATTTTGTTTTTTCGTCCGCCGTCCATGGACAGGGTTTGAGAGCAGACAGTGGCTGGAGAGACGAGGTCACCAAGGCTCTGTATCCAAAATCTGTCTCCCGACAAATAGCCTCGTTGTAGAGTCCAAGGGGGCTTCTGTTCTGTGTTTCTCTCGTGAAAAACGGGTGAGAGCTATGAGGAGGTGCACGGAGGTGAGGTGCATAAGAGAAATACAGGTAGGTGAGGTGAATGTGGGAGGTAAATCGAGGTGAGAGTTATCGAGGAGTATCAGGCTCTGGAGACATGTTATCGAGGAGTATGAGCCTCTGGAGACATGTTATCACGTTTCTGTCTTCCGCCTCACCGCCGTCCATCTCCATCACCCCCGTGGCACTCTCCTTCGGTAGGTGCCGTCAAGAACGTCTACTTGACTACAAGGACGTCTTGGTGGCTACTTAGACGACCTGGACATCTGGGAGGCTACACAAACGTCTACCCAAGTACATAGAAGCCATGACGGCTACGATATTGAAGAAGTCACGTTGAGGATGTAATTGTATTTATTATATATGTATATTTTTTTCTGAGAGAAGCCTATTTGTATTGTATAAATTACAAAATTGTATAGATATAATATTTTCACATAATGTAGTTCTAATACAAATTGAAAAACCAAATTTCGGTGACGTAAAACCATATAACGAAAAATATATGATTTCCTGAGCTACGGTTCAAGAGAAAGTGACAAAATCGCCATTATAACTATACTTCACAAGGGTGAGAGTCGTCGTCCTCCTTCACAGTGTCTTGAGCTTAACAGTATTATACAAAGACCTGGGATATTGATAATAGAATAATAACCTCTGTATATATATATTTTTGGGATATTCTCAAAACGGACATTAGGCACATTTCCGTTACATTTCCATTGATTTTCTCTGTTTCATGTCCCAATAGCTGGCGAACACGTTTCGGTTAGGAAGTATTTGAATATTTTTGTTTGCTAGTTGCCCCGCCCACTTCATCTAAGCTGACCAATCATACGAAAGAGATGTAAAGTTAATTTCTGAACTCCACCCCCTCTGCTAAACAGACCAATTAGTTTAACCTAATGCAACTGAACTGTGCCTCTGGTCGAATGAAAATATTCTGGATTATCATCACATATTTATCTATATTTTCCAATAAATATCGTTGTGTTTTTTTATGTATCATTAGGTTTTATCCCGAGACATTTAGCTGGCAAAGAACGAACCTATACGAGAAAAATCGAACAAATCCAATTTTAATATGTAAACGTGTTTTCACTATAATTTAGGGAAAATAACTGCAACAAAATTATTTTACATTGGACTTCAAGGTTTTATATATATAAAAAAGTATTTACATGCTCTACAAAAGGGGCTGTCCAATTACTTTAATACAGATGTTAAACCTTTTTTGAGAACCTTAAGCACTTGCCCCCCCCCCCAATCATCCGCTCTCTGCCAGCTGAACTCGATTCCGTTCTAGTCATTATATTTTTTACTGCTTTATTAAATTTAGAAAATTGTAATTTCTTGGTCTTTTAATTTCCTTCTAAAGATGTGGACTGTTGATACTAATGAGGAGGTGGGTCAAGGTCTCTGTGCACAAGACACAACAGGTGAGAATGGGTGATATTACAAGGAACTGATATTACATTCTCTTGTTGACCAGGCCACACACTAGAAGGTAAAGGGACGACGACGTTTCGATCCGTCCTGGACCATCCTCAAGTCGATTATCTTGATCGATCCAGGACGGTCCGAAACGTCGTCGTCCCTTCATCTTCTAGTGTGTGGTCTGGTCAACATACTTCAGCCAAGTTATTGTGACTCATCGCCTGCTTACATTCCCTTAATATCATTCCCTCCCTTAATATATCATTAAGGGAGGAATGACACAAAATGGGAGAGAGATTCCTCAGAGAAAGAGAAATGGTTTCTCAGAGTAAAAGGAGAGAATCTTCATAGAAAGAGAAGAGGATCCCCAGAGGAGGAAGTGATTCCTCTTAGAAAGAGAAGAGGTTCTTGAGAGAGGAGTGAAGTGGCACTAAGTTCCAACAATCTGGTTGTAGGAGTAGTGTGTGGTTTCAGAGGAAACGTTCCACAGCAGCAGAGAGAGTTGAAGACCCTCAGACATCTACACTCCTATGTAATGGAGATTTTTAACCCGTAACACAAACAAATTGGCGATTCTAACATTGCAAGCGTAACGGCAGCAATTTAGTGACCTTATAGAGTACATTTCTCTCGTATAAACGATACCTCTAGATGGAACAGTTTAAATTAGATAAATTATTATACACCCAAACCTTTCCTGTTGTTAGTTGTGCATCATATTCCCATTCTGTGGGTGGTAGCGGACCCCATGTTCTTCCTGTGGGTGGTAGCGGACCCCATGTTCTTCCTGTGGGTGGTAGCGGACCCCATGTTCTACCTGTGGGTGGTAGCGGACCCCATGTTCTTCCTGTGGGTGGTAGCGGACCCCATGTTCTTCCTGTGGGTGGTAGCGGACCCCATGTTCTTCCTGTGGGTGGTAGCGGACCCCATGTTCTCCTGTGGGTGGTAGCGGACCCCATGTTCTTCCTGTGGGTGGTAGCGGACCCCATGTTCTTCCTGTGGGTGGTAGCGGACCCCATGTTCTTCCTGTGGGTGGTAGCGGACCCCATGTTCTTCCTGTGGGTGGTAGCGGACCCCATGTTCTTCCTGTGGGTAGTAGCGGACCCCATGTTCTTCCTGTGGGTGGTAGCGGACCCCATGTTCTTCCTGTGGGTGGTAGCGGACCCCATGTTCTTCCTGTGGGTGGTAGCGGACCCCATGTTCTTCCTGTGGGTGGTAGCGGACCCCATGTTCTTCCTGTGGGTGGTAGCGGACCCCATGTTCTTCCTGTGGGTGGTAGCGGACCCCATGTTCTTCCTGTGGGTGGTAGCGGACCCCATGTTCTTCCTGTGGGTGGTAGCGGACCCCATGTTCTTCCTGTGGGTGGTAGCGGACCCCATATTCTTCCTGTGAGAGGTAGTGGACCCCGCCAATCGGATCCTCTGGGAGGTAGTGGACCCCCAGATACCCATCATGTGGGTGGTAGTGGACCCCGCCAATCGGATCCTCTGGGAGGTAGTGGGCCCCCAGATACCCATCATGTGGGTGGTAGTGGACCCCCAGATACCCATCATGTGGGTGGTAGTGGACCCCCAGATACCCATCATGTGGGTGGTAGTGGACCCCCAGATACCCATCATGTGGGAGGTAGTGGGCCCCCAGATACCCATCATGTGGGTGGTAGTGGGCCCCCATACCCATCCTGTGGCTACAGTGGCACATAATAAGCCAAGAAACTGAACCCCCAAATTTATTTCGCGGCAATCTAAATTCTTTGCACAAAAAAAAAATCACAACCTCAAGAGACTACAGCTTCCTTAGATGGTAATATAAGACATTAATCAAGGCCACTTTTTAACAAGTATACAATGTAACTCACTCAAGGAGCAACAGTATTACGCTAATCAAGTCACAATGTGGGACGCAGCAAATTATGCTCTAAACCACTAAGGTTATATACACGTGGACTCGCCTATCCACCGAAGAAAAAAATATCAAGACAGTTGACCAGACCACACACTAGAAGGTGAAGGGACGACGACGTTTCGGTCCGTCCTGGATCATTCTCAAGTCGATCGACTTGAGAATGGTCCAGGACGGACCGAAACGTCGTCGTCCCTTCACCTTCTAGTGTGTGGTCTGGTCAATTTACTTTAGCCACGTTATTGCGACTCATCGCCTGCATCAAGACAGTTCTCATCAGGACAAACTGGGGGGACCTGTGACAAACCAACGGCTTTCTGTCCTCAGGTAATTTGAAGTACAACACAACCTGAAAAAAATCCTCATAACAATGACGGAATCTTTGACAAGCCACGGGCTTCTTGTCCCTGTCAAAGCCACTATAGAAATGACGGTTCTAAAGAGAGTTCAGATAAAAATTCCTTAAAATTATAATCAAAATACAGGATGATAGCCATGATGAGTCTTATAGTCGTAGTAAAGAATTCCGGGATCGATCCTCGGGTGGGAGAGAAATGAATAAGCACGTTTCCTTTCACCTGATGAACCTTATTCACCTGATGCACCTTTTCACCTAACATTAAACAGAAACCCTGGAGTTAGATAACTATCGTGAGTTGCATCCTGGGGAAAGACAGTACGGTACGGCACGGTACGCTACGGTACGGTACGACCTTAAGGGGATATCGATACAAACCTATGTGCAGAGTTCCTGTCAATGCCAACGAGAATTTATATTATTTTACCAATAAAACGTTGCTACAAGAAGAGATAACTGGATAATATTAAGACATTGAAGCATTATAGAAAACTTCGCAGTTAAATGTCATGTCTGAACTGGTACACAGTTACTCGCAATATAAATAATAATAATAATAATAATTGTATTTATTAATTACTTGATATACAAAATGATATAATGGGTAGTGAAAGTGCAAACAATGCAGATTGAGTGGTACATTCTTGCAAAGCCGCTAACAAGCATTTAAGGATCCTGGTATTACAGTCGGGTTCGTTCTCGACGCACAATCGAGAATTCCGGGTTCGAATCCCAGGCGAGACGGAAATAGTTGGGCACATTTCCTTTCACCAAATGCACCGGTTCACCTAGAAGTGAGTAGGTACTCCGGAGTTAGTCAGCTTGTTGTGGGTTTGCATCCTTGGCGGGGTCAGTAATTCGGCCTTGGATGAAGGGGACCTCGATAAAAGCATAACGTGTATGAATACACCCTGGCTTCCTGTCCCCCGACACCATAATAAATAAATAATAAATGTTTATTCAGGTAAAAGTACATACATACAATGTTGGGTTTCTGGGGAGAGCTAGTACATACAATGCCTAAAACCACTAATACTCACAGCATTTTGGGCAAGGAGAAAAGACTTAGACTAACATTTAATACTTAATATTTAGTAGCACTAGGTGGGAAACACTGAGGATGAAATTTGGTATTTCTCTGTTCTACTTTTGAATATAGGTTGGACAGTTTTTTAATTCAATAGGAAGTGAGTTCCATATACTGGGTCCTTTAATTTGCAAAGGTGTTTGCACAGATTTTGTCTGACTCTGGAAATGTCAAAGATATATTAATTTCTGGTCGTTCTATTGGCCCATGAACCACTTGTGGTGGCCCATGGGTTATATTACATCTATCAAGAAAGTTTCAAATCAACGTTTAATGAAACAATTCAAGAAATATGATCACCCAAAAGAAACTGACATAATAATAATGAGATACCAAGTCCGATACTCCTTGTCTTCATTTGTAATCGATCACCGCCCTTGTTGCTTAACTACTGAACTCTTTATGCAACATATGTACTGTGTACGTTTGTAGCCATATTAAGGAGTAATATAATTCCTCCAAAATCTCTCATTATTTTCAGTGCAGATAATTAGATGTGCCTGTAAATTAATTTAATATATTCCTGAGAATTGCAATTCCCGCCAGAATTGGACACCTACAGACAATTCCCTAGGTCAACTATATAGCTGATTGTCCCCCGCCAGATATATTGTTAACTGTCGTGAGTTTAAAGCATTGCACACTAATTTTATCTTAACAAAAATATAATTAATGTAAAAAGTACGACATGGAGTTTTTGTTATAGTTACCCATAAACAAACGGTAATTTTCTCTGTTAAATATTTTTTACATTTTCTTTTACTTCTGTCTGATAAACTATTTTAAAATATCAGTGTGATTATAGAACCGTAAAATAAGAGTCCTGCTGAAGAACTTAGGGGCATAATAATCAGCGCCAGATTATCAATTAGTCACTATAGGCACAGTACCTAGGGCAACCGAAATAGATGATGTCTGTGAAAAATAAAGTGATAACATTTCTTCCCCTTTTTCTAATGAATACTATTAAATTGATACCGATGTTATTTTTTCCATATACTTAATCCTACTAGTATCTATTTATATTACTTGAATATTTTCTACACTATTCTAATTAAAATTATTCTGGCCATAGATGGAAGTGAAATAGTAGGCGTTAGTTTGTGTTATTAGTGAATATGCTGTCAAATCTGGCCACATATCTTGGAGATGCATTTAAGACCTACAGAAGTCTTAATCGGGTCTTGAGTAACTGAGCTCCTTGTTGATCAAGTTCTGTGTAAACTAATTTATGTAAACTGATAATGATATAATCAGTATTGTTAAGAGATCTGAAGCTTAACTGGCTGGAATTTAATATATATAGTGGTAAGCGTATGCAGTCAGCTCACAATCGATTTAACCAATTGTAACGTACGATTATGTTATGTTGTTGGGCAGATTAGATACACAGTGTTTAGTGGGTTTTCATATTTATTTTGTAGTCTTGGATACAGCAGTGTCATAGACGTTGAGACGGAGCTTGGAGCAGAGCAGAGAGCTGACAAAGGCAGGAGTCGCGGAGCTCTGTGCGGGAGAGCATAGCGGCTCGATGGGGAATTGTGAGTGTCTAAACTCGATAGGGAGCGAGAGCGTTGTAACTCGATGCGGTCGTAGTCTGCTGTCTGCTCTGTGTCGAAGCTGTAGCGATTTGGCGTCGATTAGAACTGCATACGCCGAGTGCTACATTCTTGAGGTTGAAGAGGTGTGGTAAGTCTGAAGCGTCTGTACTGAAGTTAACTGAATCACTGTGGAAATTGTACTGTTGGCTTTTCAATGCTTATATTATAGGACTACACCTCAACTTTCATAGGATGGAAAGAATGTTACCTGTAATTAGGGAAAAGGTTATAGATTCGTAATTATTGCTAATTGAGTTTGTCATTAATGTAATGAGAGGTTGGAGCGAGTATAATGTTTACTCGCTACACAGAGTTCGATTCCCGGGCATGGTGAAATGTTTAATTGGGTACTTTTTCTTACGCCCGTCTCTCTTCACCTAGCAGCAAATAGGTACCCAGGAGATAGGCGACTATTGTGGGTTGCAGTCGGGAGGTCTGTCGTGGATCTTGGTGTTCATCTAACCTCGCTGACTAATCCCAGGAAGGGTGAGACGTATGGGCAAGTCTCCCTACACCTATTTCAGCTGTTCACCTAGCAGTAATTAGGAACCTGGGTGTTATTCGACTGTAGTGGGTCGCATACTGGTGAATGGTCAAATGCTGCATATATCTGAGGTAAACTCGAATTTCCCACAAACTCCGCAAGGAACAGCACGAGGAAAATGGTCGGAAGGCTACACATGAATATATGTCGTAAAGCAAAGCAATTAGAGCCGCAAGGCCACAGCAACGAGTGAGCCGGAAGGTCCCAAGAGTCCAAAAATCGTATTTACGTCCAAAAGTCATAGAGTGGGTTCACGCCCAAGCAAAGTCCCAAACAAAGTTCTTGCCTGAAACGCTTCGCGTACTAGTGGCTGTACAAGAATGTAAGAACTCTTGTATATATAAATAAATAAATAACAATAATAACTAACTACAGGCTTTAAAACGTACGACAATTGATGGAAACCACGAAGGGACAGACAATGAAATATTTGCCTGATGCTCGCTATCACTGACCAAAGTTCAAGTCTGTCATGGGAAGCATATCTCTCTCCAACTGAAGCCAGACATCTTGTGGATAACACTTCAGTTGATAACGTATCTGAACATATCACTGGTGTGTTGAGCAGCCACTGCCAAACATACGATCCTGTTTGATGACACTTTTCACCCAACTCCCTATTATTTTCTTGTAAAGTTTGAGCCGCAGAATATTCTAAAATATATAAATATGTGCTATAACATTGATCAAAATTAAGGTGAATTAGTGTTCACGCAGAACGTGCAATGTAATTTTTTTCCCCCAAAACAGCTCTTGGTGAGATCTGGTGGTAAATTATTGCCCCTGGTGGTAAATTATTAATTTTGACTTTTTTCAGACAAATTTAAATATTAGAATATTCTCAGAAAAACAGATCTATATACTGTTATATTCACCAAAACAGTTTCCATGTAGTTTTCGCGAGAAGATGCAGTATACAACATTTTTCCCAATCAGCTGTTGGTTGAATCTTAAATCCCGGCAGCAAAACAGAAATCAGCTGAGCGGGGAGATTAAAGAAGCATCTTAAAACAGATGACTGGGTGAAGGCTTTAGAGTTAAGAGGGAACTCAGGTTAGTGAAATTAGACAATTCAATATTCTGCAACGCTCTATGTGTTAAAACCAATTCAGTAGTATGCAGAACTTTATTGTAGAAATACAGTTAGGTTCGTTATCGACTCGCAATCGGGAATCCAGGGTTCGAATCCCGGGCGAGACAGAAATAGATGGGTACGCTTTCTTTCACCTAATGTCTCGGTTCACCTAGCAGAAAATTGGTACCCGGGAGTTGGTCAACTGTTGTTTGGTCCTGTGGAGGGTAAGTAATTCGACCTTAGGGGATAGCGACCAGATATAAGCCCTATGAATGTATGTGTGTATATAAACCGTCTATATAACTATTAGCATGCCAATTAGTGTGGACTATTATTATCTCTGCTAATTAAGAGATCACCGTTTGTTGTAAGACTATTAATAATTGGTTCATTACCAAGTAATTTCATATTACAGTGCTAAAAAATGCTGATCCTTGAGTACAGGACAGTTCAGTATATAGTACAACTTTACATGTTCAAGTTGATGGTGTATTGCTCATACCATTATGTATAGTGTAAGAAGTGACAGTAGAAATATTATTGATTATATGGTAAACTGTTATTACATATAGTGAATAAACAAAGGGGATTAAAGTTCTCTATAAATTTATCTTGTTAAATAACTAATGTTCATAATTGAATATACGAGCTTATAGTCAGTATATAGTCTCACTATAGTCAGTATGAACTATAATATTGAGTAAAATAATAATAATAAATAATAATTTATATTCAGTATATATATAATATACATTAGGACATGTTGCAGTGGTTTATTAGCAGGTATATAAATTGTAATATGCAAAGAATTTTGTGTATCACCTAAAATAATTTTGTTACTACAAACTCATTTTTCAGTGAGGGACAAGAAGATGGTTAATCCACGTGAGCTTCCAGGATTTGGTGATGAAATAGAAAACTACACATTCAAAAATGTGAGTGTCAGAGATGATTTGATGTAATTCAATTATTGGGTTCAAATTACAGTATTGATAATACTATAGTTATAATGTAACTTTAATACTGTACATTTAAGTCTATGATCAGCTATGTGAAGATAATTTACACACATCATACAGTATATTTATTTAAACTTTTTAATACTCTCACTTTGATTATTGTATCCAAGCATGAAGACTTTATCTTCAGAAAGACATATCTGCTTTGGAGATAATTCAACACCAGGCATCAAAAATCATTCCAGTAGTAAGTCAACTCTCATATCAGGAACAGTTGAGGGCCCCAGGCCTAACGAGACTGCAAACCAGACATAATAGCGTGCATCTCGTCGAAACTTTAAAAAAAAAAAAAAAAAAGAGTACTGAGCAGTTTGGAGGATTTTGATCTAGATATCCTTCTTCAAGACGTCAGATGTAACACTAACAAGGAACAATGATTTCAAGCTCAAGTTACATGTAGGACAGAAAACAGGAGATGCTTTTTCACCCATTGGACTGTAAATCCATGGAACCGCCTTCTCGCAGAAGTTGTAAATGCCAAAACACTGTTGAATTTAAAAATCCAGCTTGAAAAAATCTTCAGGACAAGCAGTGGGACCTTTGAAAAGCCGCTGGGTTCCTGACCTTGTCGAGGCCACTGAAGTGTTAAGCCTCAGATAAATATAGGTTAACTCAAAATATAAAGTAATTGGTTACAGGTATTTCTCAATATTTTTTTCCACAATTAACACCAAAATTAGTTATCTCTATGGTAAAACTATTTTTCTTTGGAAACAAAGATCGAGTAGTTTTGTCTTCTAGTGGCCAAATGAGGCAATTCTGTTTTACTAAATGAATTTACAAAGTATATGTATATTGCTTTTAGCAGCCAACATTAAAAAATGGTGCTTTTGCTTGTCTATATCAGAAACAGTGCTGGTACTAGTGCCATACTCTTCTGTCAAGCTTGTCAGAGATCAATCTCTCCCAAGTGGTCAGTGCAGTTAGTTCACAACAAAAAGTACCATGTTCGTCTTCGATGCAGGACGAGACATTTAGGCACATTTTCTTACAGGTAATGGCCTGTTCATGCAGCAGGAAATAGGCACCTGAGAGTTATGTGTGGGGGTTTAAGGGAGTGGTGTGTGTGTGTGTGTGTGCGAAGGGTGATATGGGTATTGTAGTTGTGTGTAACTGAGCGACAGATATAAATAGATATGGTCTATGTAATGTACTGTATTTATGTATTTATTTGATTCTATAGTTAATGAATCATTTATCTGCAGGATCTTGATTGGTTTGTGCATGTGAATAACCCATTGGAGGTCTTCAAAGCCCAGCCAACATACTTTCTCTCAGAATGGTCCTTTGTGATCATTGGACTTCTGTCTTTGACTCATGGTAAATATGATGATTGTACTATTATTATGTTTTTAAAAATGTTTATAAACAGACATCCAGCATTTCCAGTTTCTAACTTAGTTGATTCACTGGCATGATACTATACTATCCATATCCCCAAGAAATTAAGTGCGTATTAGGGGAAGTAAAATAAATATTTTTCCTTCGAAAACTACATTTTTATTTTTACACTTTTTGTTACATATGCAATATAAAAAAATATATATTATTTAAAATTTCTAACCCTTTTTAGAAAGTGAAAATATTTAAAAAAGGGGTATAATTTTTTCTGTCAAGCTTAGGCCTTCATTGTCATCAACAGATGGCAGCATGTGGATGCATATTTAGGAGGCTTGGGAATAATGTACAATACTGACAAACATGACAGTATATGAATACTGCCCTATAACACATCCTATCTTCTCTGGGCAAATGTCTCTTTGCTCCCAGGAAAGCAAGAAATAGAACAGTGGACTATAAATTTCTTAAAGTAAATGGATCTGGATATGATTAAGCTCCTAATTAGTAACATATTAAGAGTTCACACATATTAAGAGTACAGTATAGTGTAACTTGTGGCGCAGTGGTTAGTGGCGTCGGCTCACAACCGAACGGTCCTGGGTTCGTATCCCAGGCAGGGCGAGACAAATGGGCAAGTCTCCTTACACCCATTGCCACTGTTCACCTAGCAGTGATTAGGAACCTTGGTGTTAGCCGACTGTTGTAGGTAGTATCCTGGGGAATGGTCAAATGCTGCATATATTCGAGGTATACTCGAGTTTCCCACACATATCAAAAGGCACAGCATGAAGAAAATAGCTGCAAGACTACACATGAAACTGACAAAAGGCAAAGAAACTAGTGCTGGAAGGTACCAGAGTCCAAAAGAAGTGTTCATGCCCGAAGTCAAAGAGTGGGTTAACATCCAAACAAAGTAACTACTACTACTGATTAAATGCTAGAATCTTATCTAAATGTAATATGATTCCCATAGGTTTGTGTACATGATCACTTGTGATACTGAATACGATGTTACTGAATTTGGTGATACTGAAATTAGTTTTGAAGGAGCCCTTTAATATTTATTTTATATCACCGAAGCAACGTAGCTTTAACATTTTTTTTCTGTCACTTTCATACTGGCGAGTGTTTCTTTCTTAATAATGTATGTCAGTAAATAATCTCATTTAGACTTAATATGTGCCAATTAAATGTATTTTTTGGAACATTAGTACTGTACTTTTAACTATATTTACATTTTCTCCAATGTGTATTAACAATGAACTATCTTTTCAGCTTTCATTGTGGGAGGGCGATGGAAGTATCACTGGCTGGCATGTTATCTCCATGGCTTGACAGTTGAAATGACCTCTTTTTGGTTACCCGATATTGACAACTACTGGCATTCGCAGACCACCATCATGTTTCTGGGGAGAAGATTGCCCTTCCACATACCCCTGATCTGTATGTCAACTGCATCGTTCCTAACCTGGGGATAGAACTAAAAAATATTGTCACTGACATCATTTCCAGACACCTTAAGATTAAGATCACGAGAGGAAATTTTTATGTAAAACTGTCTATCTCGAAACTGTACACTGTATCTAAAAGTGAGAATTCAAATAATTGTTCTGCACTCACCAAGATAAATCTCTGCTGCACATAATGTCTTCAAAAATATTTCTATTGTAGATGAATTACATTCTGTTGTAGATTTCATTGATCATGATTTTTGTAGTGTAGAATTACTGGTCCCACTTGTTACATGCTTAATACCACATTTTTGCAAGTGCTTAAGCTACTCATCACTATTCTAATACTACCAAATAATAACATAACCCACACATTAATAAAAAGAAAAGTAATGGTGTTTCAACCCATCACGAAGTTGCAATTGAGGAGGATCCATAACAGGCCAAAATGTTGCCACTTTCTTTTTGCTTCATATGTAATGGTTTGATTATTTGACTTCAGCCATGTTATTGTGACTTATTTCCTGCAACTACTGAGTAATGCTTACAGACCTAAGAAATTCCTTTTTCTAACCCCATAAGCAGCATCAGCTAGCCTACGTTTCTGCGTCTTTTTGTGTACGACTTTATCACTTGCTCCAAGAACAGCAAAAATGTTTTGTTTAACCTTCATAATATCAGAAAGAACTGTCATGTTAATTTTAAGGAATTTTTTTGCTGTTAAAAGAAGTTTGTTATAGATTATTTTAGCTCCAATTACAACAATGTAGCCCTACTGCAGAAAGTTGCTGCAGTACTGTATAATGCTAATTTAAACTACTGTACTGCATAATTATAATATATTAAATTAATGGATTTCCTCAGAATTAGTCAAGATTATATACATATATAATTTTTTCAGATCCGTCATTCATGTACAATGCAGCATACATGGTGGCACATGCAAAACTTCCTCGCTGGGCAGAACCTATGGCTGGTATGTTTTTAAAAGAAATTAAATTTCTATTTTGGTAGTATTGGTGTTATGATACAAGATTATAGGTTCTATATTGTTTGCTTTGAATGCAATTCTGAATATCAATTTGACATCTGACTTAGTAGTATTTTTGTTAAATAATTTGTTATTTATTTATTGGTATGTATCGTTTTTCCAGTATTTTTGTTTATCGGGAATGTCGTTTTACTGGCCTGGTAGTATTTTGTTAGAACAGATGACAAAGAAAAGCAGAGAATATACACATACTGAGACATACCTAATATATTTTATACATTACTTAGAAATGCATACATGTATCTAAAACTATTCCACAGTCTATATATTTTTTGGAAATTAATGAAATAACTTTCCTCAGCTGGCTTGATGGAAGTTCTGATTGACATTCCTTATGATATCATGGCTGTCAAATTTGTGCATTGGACATGGCATGATACGGATCCCAATATCTTTGACCGGCACTACTCAGTTCCTTGGAATTCTTACTATTTCCATCTTACCTTTGGTACGGCATTCACCTTTGCTCTCAATTTTTGGCGCCGTAAGATCACTGGAACAGATGATAAAGGAGAAGTCTCCAGGTACGATTAAATAAAAATGCATTGTGCACATATTTGTTTATGGATTTTGGACACTGGTAGGAGTTCAGACAAGTATCAGGTCTAGAGAAGAGCAATGATGTGGGGGGCTGTCATTTTAGTTTATCATTGACAAACATTACAAAACATTCTGCAAAGCTGTGTACTGTAACAGTGTATAAATGTTGAAGTATCTAATTCTTAGGACTCTGCATAGTATCATAAGAATGTGTATATGTGTGCAAGTTTGTGCACTCTTTTATAAAAATATGTGCATGTATCAGTAGATAAGTTTTCAGCAGACAGCACATTTTTGTCATCATTTTTTAATGTTCCATACCGCTGTCCTTAGCTAATGGAGCACTGTTCATGCTGAACAATAGGAATACAGTATACCAATATAGCTCATGTGTGGTATTCTTGTTACTTTTCAACAGATGGCTAATGCAATTGGCTAACCTTTCAGATTTGTATATGGAATATTTTTATCATTTTACTGTATAGTGGATAAATTGTCACTAGTAAGCATACATTTCTATGTACAATGCTTAGAATGTCTTTTCAAGTCTGATTATATTTTGCTTCATTCTTTTTTTTCAGTTCGGGTAAAGAAATTTTGTGTGCATTCCTGGCAGGCTTATGTGGCATGCCTGGTGGTGTAATACAGTTCATCTTCTTGTACCATCCCCTTCATGATACATATGGCATCCACACCGAAAACTGTGTTATCACTATTCTTGTTGTGTACTTACTGATTGTGTGGTCAGCTGATCGCACACCAAGACTTACATCACGCAGGCAAAAGGGTTGGTATGAGTTCACATTACTCTAAGTACTGTACCTTAGACCTTTTATAATTTAATCTGAATTCATTTCTCACTAAATATCATGTCTCAATAGTTCAGAAACCTTAAAGAAGTGTATGGAAAAAAAATTGCCACCAGAATGACTCCAGGTATTCGTAAGAGGTTATCAAGATGATAAAGTCTACCTCGATTGACTCTATATTGGAATCAGTGCTGTTTTAACACATACCGTTAGGCACAAGGGGGCAGTTTCCCAGGGGCCCCACAATTCTAGGAGCCCCATGCTTCCCATATTATCCATGAGTCACTCTATACCACTGTATAGAATAATTACAATGCCATATTGTAATTGTCCACTCTTGGCAGAGTAGATAATTAATCGACCTCTCACTGGAAAGGCCTGGGATTCAAATCAATTTTCAAATTATATTTATACTATATAGTATATAATTTGTGCATAACTATCTTACATTAATCCTGCACTTTAGCAGATGGACAGGACCCATCATCTGGTTAGAGGGCTCCTGTGCATTTCTTTTCCTTGGCCCTACAATGCCGTTAAGATGACCCCTAATTGAAATACCATTTTTTCACAATTTTACTTATTCTTGCACCTTTAATAGTATGTACTGTATTATAAAAATACAGATTTGTTACCAATACGTCTCGGTTACTCTCTTAGGCAATATTCTGCTGGTTCCATGAGCAGCACCATACAGACAAGATAGGCAAATTTTCCACACCAGTGCACTAGCGTTTATACATATATTCTTTGCAGTTCATACTGGTGCAAGGAAGAAACTGGAGACAATTCATTCCAGCCCAGAATGACCTTTGAATTCTTTTTCAAATAAGCTCAAAGTTATTCTTTGAGCTATTTGGCATCACATAAGCTGCCTAGCTGCACTCTCATTAATTCACTCTCTTTCATTAAGGCCCAGGATTCATCACACATTTATGCATCCATTTATGAAACCTATACATCGTTCCTCAATCATGCGAATTAATTTGTATTTATTGAACAGGTTACGAGGTTCAAAAGTTCCCAAGCCACAGTTATTATTGTCCTAGACAACTTTGTAGCACTTTGGACCTCATAAACTGTTTTATATATACAAACTAAGCCACCATGATTAAGGAAAGATATAAATGTATTGTTAATGGACACAAAAATATTTGATAATTCTTGGCCAGGTTTTTATATGCCAGACCACAACTAGGAGGCAGCACAGCAATATATATTTATAGGGTTCATTGCCATGACCCACCTCACATTCAATGTTAAGCGACGTGTTTATTCGTAGAAACTTGCATTTTGTTGTGCAGTGGGCTTTGGCAGTGGGCATGTCTTGTGTGAGAGTATTCCTGTACACAGTTGCTTGCATATCTCTGGACTTAATTACCATCTGGTTATCTCAGTTCTGGTTGAATTATTTATTAGGTGTGATATTCTCTCATGTTTCCTACCACCTTCACTGCAACCTGGTTTTGGGACATTCATATTCGTGGCACAAATATTTGAAGAGTATACGGTACATTCAATCACTGTCACCTTACTATAGTGAAGCATAGTCCATTTTATTACCTCAAGGTCACACTTTGATCTAGTTTGTTTCCTCTTCCCAGGTTATGTTGTGCCCATGTTATTCATGGCAATATTTTTATAGTTACTGCTTCAGTCACAAAATGTCGTTGTGCATCCTTGTCTAAGGGTTGGACTGGCTTAGGTTAGTGTGCCTGAGAACTCTATTATGCACCCAGGTGTAACTGATTGTGTAACTGTTGTTTGCCTGGACATGGTCTTTCTTGCCCAGACCTTCCTATGGTATATAGTCACACTGGCTTAGTGCTTACTCATGATAATTTAATAATAATAATAATAATAATTTGAAGTATTTGTTATAACTTCCAAAATGCATTTCACTTGAATATTTTCTTTTTTTGTGCATATTATTTTTGTAATCACTGTGTAAATAGAAAAAATTATCTTCAGGTAAGGTGTTGCAGTTTTTAATAAATGTTTTAATAATATAAACTATAAATTTCAGGTGAGAAGTCTCATTGGTCAGTGATCATCATAATTTTCAACATGATCATGCATTATGGCCTCTACATGTGTATGGCTCTGTTTGGAAAACCTGAAGAGGAGATCTCTATAGGCTTGCATGAACGCACTGGACCTTGTGATGATAAAACTTATGTTTACACTGCATTTGGTGATGTAAGTCAAATGTATTTATTTATAATTTTTTGTATCATATTATAGCTGCAAAAACTACATTTCAGCTTTAGATTTCTAGAGACAAGTTCATTTGCTGTAATTTGTTTTCAATGGGATAAAAATTTCAGTTTCAAGTTCTTGTGATTATCGACACATACCAAGACAGGTTGAGGGGGCACAGAGATAACAACATACCAGGGCGGATCTCATCAAACTTTTAAAATACTGAACAATTTGGAGGATATTGATCAAGACAGCTGCTTTAAAATGTGAGATGCAACACAAACAAGGAGCAACAGTTTGAAGCTCAACAAGTCACAATGTAGGACAGGAAACAAGATATACTTTTTCTCCCATAGAGCTATACAGTAAACCCATGGAACCACCTACCTGCCAATGTTGTAAATGCCAAGGGAAGGGAACTATCAGAGAAAAGCACCAAGCCATTACAAGTATATAGCACTTGGAAGGGGTCAGGATAAGGATTTGGGATGGGACAGGGGAAAGGAATGATGCCTAGCCACTTGGACAGTTGGGGATTGAACGCCGACCTGCATGAAGCGAGAACATCGCCCTACTGTCCACCCCAAGTGGACGGTAAAATAATGCCAAACTGCTGAATTTCAAAATCCAACTCAATAAAATCATCAGATCAAATGAGAGGACCTTTGAGAAGCTGCTGGCTTCGTGCCCTCATTGAGGCCACTTGAGGGATAGTGGCCTTCAGATAAATTCAATTAAATATAGATTAGAACCTAAATTTTGTTTAACATGAGAAGAATGGGACATTGGAGCTGGCTTACTAACCCACACGAGGCAGGGCCTATTTGTACCCCAATTTTTTTAATTTGTGTATCCTTCCTATTTTAAAAAATTATATATTTACTTTAATGATGCTAGTTGGGAGGGTATTCTACTCATTTGTGTCTGGCTTGTTGAGCCAAAGCTTACCAACATTGATACTAAATTTATACGTCCAGTTTGTATGCCGGAACAGGACAGAAACACCTTGGTACATTTCCTTTTACTTGATTCCTCTGTTTACCTAGCAGTTAATAGGTGCCAGGGAGTTAGACAACTGTTGTGGGGTGCATCCTGGATAAAGTCAGAAGTTGACTTATGGGGGGGTTCTCAGTGAGCCTAACCACAGGGTTCCTGTTCCCCATCATAGAGAAAAAGAAAATATAATTGGGATTTAAACAAATTTGAGATCAGTTTCATGTTGCAGGAGTCAATGAACTGTTACAAATTATTTTTTAGAATCTGAACAGTTAAACAAACTTTAAGCAGTATTTTATAAGTTAATAGTTTTACAAAAAATTTAGCAAGGCTATTGTATCATATTTGTGATATAGTAAATTACTGTATATTGAGTTAATTTCTCTCAAAATGTGAGTAGAAATCACCCACATTTGGCCTGTCAACTTAATATAGTGGTATGCCCTACATAATTTCAATTTTGATATTATTTTTATTATTATTATTGAATATGAATATTATCCTAAATTCATTTTATAGTATACAGTATTAAGTATTTATTATTCTTTTAACATGTTTAATTTCACAGCAGAATATTAAATTTTGCATATAGACAATTATTTAAAGTTGTTATTTGTCAATAATTTTTTCCTTTCCAGATTTTGGAAAGGAACACCTATCTATGCACCAGTGACTATGATGAGAAATACTTTGATTTTCACTGTTTACCTGGTGGTCAAACTGTCAGCGATGGAATGGAATGGTACACAATCTGCGGAACTTCCTTCAGCAATCGCGCTGAGTACATATCAGTAATTGCTCTCGTATGCTTTACTGCCACATTCATATTCTATCATTTGCTTTTTAGAAGCTCTCGTACACTAACTTACAAAAATAACACACTTGTCTACAATAAAAAGGGAGGAAAAAGAGAGAAACTAAATTAAGGCTTTGTGAAGTCATTGAAATTCTGGAAGTCATCTGTATCATGTCATTGATGCCTGAAAACCTCTTGTGCCTGAAGCATTAAATAGAATGAAACCACAAACAAATTATGTGAAACATATTCTAATAAAATATAAGTTCAGAAGATATCTAAGACAAGACAAAATTGAATTACTTTTTAAGATAGGCATTATTAAATAATTGTTGTAAAGTTTAGGCATTTGGTGTCATATTTTATTTTATTTTATATCTCTTGTTTTTGGTTGGCTGTATGGTCTTTAACCTAGAATGACACAAGGGTAGGCACCTTGAATGGTGCATTATGGGTGAAAGACTTCTGACATGATACCAGAACAGTAACAAAAACATTATATATCCTCCCATCAAACCAAGTACCTGTACAGTATCTTCAAATTAATTGAAGATACCACATATCCATGTTGATACACTATTTCTACCTTGTACGGTATATTAATATCAGATCTTTAACTGTCAAGGGCTCTCAAGGAACAAGCCATTGAATTACTGAATATAGGTTTGACGATGCCAGTGTCTATTCCCCTAAAAATGTCGGCAAACAATCTTAAAGCATCATCAAACACTACTGGTACACCATGATAATATGCCCACTGATATAAGAAATTAATGCCCAGCTATTCCTATGTTACGTGCCTTCAAACATTTGGGTGATTGATGGTTTTGTGTGCCTGGCAGATGTTTGCATTTCCAGCATGTAGTGGCCAAGCTTAAGGGTACTCAGTACAGTATATTGTAATAATGTTTCCTAGTTCTAGGAAAATGAAGGTAGGTATGTTACAACCTATAATTTTCATGATTTTATATGAAATTCCCTCAGTGACAGGTGATACAGTCTGACTACACAATTTGATTTCATCATTCAAGGTCCCTTGATGTTTTGGTTATTAAATTATAAAGTATTATTACTGTATATATGAATAATAAATGTTCTTTAATTTTATAGATAAGTATAACCTACTTATCATGCCATCGATGTTTACCTAAATGTATTACAGAATATTTGTTTTTAACTTCAATTCTGTAACATACATTATGTGGCTGAATGCTGGCAACTTCACCCAAGACATACACAGTATAAGCGGTTATAATATACTGGGCCAAGTTTGGAATATGGGACAAAAATAACTTTTGTCAGTGTTGTACATAAAGTTAAAGTATGGCTTGATAATTTGTATTTTTGTAGTACAGTACATCCATATATTTATATTCTAAATATATACAAAATCATTATTTTGAGAAAAAATTAATCTGTTTTCAATTTTTAAATGAAATTTTTAAATAGATAAATGATTTACTTAAAAACTTTGTTAAAAATACAAATCTTGCCCAAAATACTCTGAGTATTACTGGCTTTAGGCATACTGTATTATATATTAGTTCTATCAAGAAATCCAATATTCTGCTTGTAACTCATTTTGTATGTACAGTTTATACTTTATCTTAAATAAACATTATCATTATCAAAATTTTTTTACTTCATAATCAAGATTAAACCAATTAATGAAATGCTTAAGAAAATGGAGACATTTGATTTATCTTTTTATTTGACACTCTTCCATCTCAATGCTTTTCATCACTTTCATATCCCTTCTTCCTCTTCCCTTCCCCCCCAACCCCATTTCCATCACTGGTAGCTTCAATCACATGCTAACAATTGTAGGAAAGACAGAACACCACAAGCTTAGCTCTTATTCTGTAACTAACTTGGGTAATTACACTTAGATAACTGCACTCGAAAGACAGTTATCTGTAAGTACACACCAGTTTCGACTATACCAGCTATAGATTTTGGTGTTCCTCGTGACAATGAAACAGCAATTTTTTTTTTTTTTTTTTTGAGATATATACAAGAGTTGTTACATTCTTGTACAGCCACTAGTACGCGTAGCGTTTCGGGCAGGTCCCTGGAATACGATCCCCTGCCGCGAAGAATCGTTTTTTCATCCAAGTACACATTTTACTGTTGCGTTAAACAGAGGCTACCGAACCCATGACATAGCGCTCGCGGAACGCCAGGCGAGTGTCTTACCACTACACCACGGAATTCATGCAGTATGAGCATATATAGGTGAATAGGGTTCAACTACTGCAAACTATCTCAAGCCCATTATTCCCAGCAAAAATTAGCTACCAGAACTATAGCATTCTGTCTTCAGACAACAGAAATGCTCTCTTTCATGTTGACCTCCCACTCTCATGTTGGCCCCCACTCTTAACCCTCCTCTATCATGATGACCCCCTCTCTCTCATGTTGACTGCCCACCTCACATGTTGACCCCCCATCTCTCTCTCTCTCTCATGTTAACCTCCCCTCTCTCATGATGACCCCCTCTCTCATGTTGCCCCCTCCCTCCCTCTCTCTCACTCATGTTATCCCCCACTCTCATGTGAGAGAGGGGAAGGCCAACATGAGAGAGAGGGGGGTCAACATGCGAGGGGGGGTCAACATGAGAGAGAGGGGCTCAATATGCGGGGGGGGGGGGGTCAACATGAGAGAGAGGGGGTCAACATGAGAAAAAGGGGGTCAACATGAGAAAGAGGGGGGTCAACATGAGAGAAAGGGGGTCAGCACAAGAGAGGGGGTCAACATGAGAGAAAGGGGGGTCAACATGAGAGGGGGTCAACATGAGAGAGGGAAGGGGGTCAGCATGAGAGAAAGGGGGTCAACATGAGAGAAAGGGGGTCAGGATGAGAGAGGGGGTCAACAAGAGAGAGAGGGGGTCAGCATGAGAGAGAGGGGGTCAACATGAGAGAGAGGGGGTCAACATGAGAGAGAGGGGGGTCAACATGAGAGAGAGGGGGTCAACATGAGAGAGAGGGGGGTCAACATGAGAGGGGCTCAACATGAGAGAGGGGTCAACATGAAAGGGGGTAAACATGCGCCCCCTGCGGGGGTCAACATGCAATATGTGCCCCAACATGCGTCAACATGAGAGGCCCCCCCTCTCTCTCATGCTGATCCCCCCTTCTCTCACGTTTCCCCTCCCCCTTCCCCCTCTCTAATGTTGAACCCAATCACTTGGGCTGGACGGTAGAGCGACGGTCTCGCTTCATGCAGGTCAGCGTTCAATCCCCGACCGTCCAAGTGTCGGTGATTGCACCATTCCTTCCCACCGTCCCATCCCAAATCCTTATCCAGACCCCATCCCAGTTCTATACAGTCGCAATGGCTTGGCGCTTTCCCTTGATAATTCCCTCCCCCTCTCTCATGTTGACCCCCCCCCCTCTTTCTCATGTTGGCCTCCCCTTTCTTTCATGTTGAGCCCCCCTCTCTCTCATGTTGAGCACCCCTTTCTCTCATGTAGACCTCCTCTCCGATGTTGACCCCAGCTCGTCCATGCCGATTGTCCCCAAAGACGCTTTCGAGATGATTGGAGGACGAGGAACACAAGAAAGAAAGAGGAGCATAGGAAGAGAAAGAGGAATGAAGATTGATGGAGATATGGGAACAAGGGGAAAGAAGAGAGAACAGTAAAGAGTATTGAAAATGGTAGAGGGGAGAAGGGGAAGGTGAGATGATGTAGAGGGAGGGGAAAATTAATCAGATGAAGGGTACGGTTCCCTAGTTCATCAATTTGTCTAAATTGTCGAATGTCTGTCTGTCTGTCTCTGTCTTACATCAGTTCACAGTAATAAAGGCGCTTGTGATCTCGCTGACGAAGTCTCTCCGCCTATATAACAAAAAAAGTACAAATCTACTCCAGAAAACTTAGTAAATAAAACAGCGTATAGGCTATGACCCAAACTTTTTCTTCCCCCTAAGCACGAAAACTACGGAAACTCCCTCGATCCTGCCCACACACAGCCGCGGACATCAACAATTCCTAACGCACAATTTCCGCTTAAACTCTTTGTAATGCTGTCCTTGCTTGGTGTAATGTTGTCCTTGCTTGCATAAACCCGTGAATACAGCCCAAATGCATTTGCCTGAAATACCGAGACAGCGGTGAGGGCAACAGCCATAAAAAGTGAGTATCTGGCAACCGCAAGCATCACAACACGGAAGAGGGTGCAAGTTATGAGAGCTTCCCGACCCTCTTTTGTTTTCAACACGTAGGAAATTCTTCCTTTACGCCAGAAAGATAATTATGAAATGGGTGATAAGAGACAATTCCATAATTTATTACACTGTTAGATCTGAAGAAAAACTAAAAATGTCGGAAGATATAAATTTTCACAAATAAAACGACTCTGACCCCTGCAGATCTCTCGGCAATCCGTTTGTAGGTTTTAGTCTCATTTGTCTTCACTAAATTGCAATGGATTCTGCGCATTAGCATATTATATTAAACAAGGATATTTATAGACAGGTTTTATGTGTTTTCCAGCGACAAACTTTCGAGCGCTCGCGCGGGCTCAACGTAGCCTAAAGATTACACGGCTATTATTTCTTGGAATAACCTCAGAGGCTTCCGTTTCCTCTCCTTCCGGGCTATTGTTCGCCACCAGCGCTGCTCCAACACATACACTATTACCGTTATATGCAAAATACAAGAGAAAAAATATATATACGAAACCATTTTTTTTCCAACACAATATTTGCAGAAAACGTGCCCAGTGGGCACCTGAGCAGAACAAGAAAATATGTGAAAAGTTTACAAAAATTTTTTGCTAAAATTGACCAAAATATGATAAAAAAAATCGCTATATAATAGGAAAAATCGACGAGATAAAACCGTACAGAAGGTCAAAATTTCTAGAAATTCGCAATTGGAGTCATAGTTTGATACTGAAAATGTCGAATGCATTTCTTTGAGAAGTGGGTTGGGGGAAGAGGATCGTAAGGTTGCCTTTTTGACGAGGCAATGGGGGGGGGGGAAGGGGTGATGAAGAGTTAGGGAGAGGGAATTCAGAGAAAACTATCAACGACGCCTGTAAAAATGCGTTAGGTACTTCATTCATAATAACGTACTACCAAAACTCTTAGCCAAGTCTCTAAAATTTACATACTGTAGGTGCAGCCTACATATGACTGTAAAACTGCCGCCCTCTCGTGTGGGTGTGGAGTAAGACCACAGATGTAAGCTAGCTGCCTTGTCTTCCACACACTGTTGAGAGCCACTTCTTGAATCACTTGTGAAATAAAATATATATATATATATATATATATATATATATATATATATATATATATATATATATATATATATATATATATATATATATATATATATATATAATATATATATATATATGCACGTGTGAATTTAAAATTTGTGTAACTAGCTTCACAAGATTGTTACTTGCTTAGCTAAATGAACTATGAACTACCCAATATATGCCTTTGCATCCCATACCGTCCATGGGATGGGTATGGGGTGTATAATAAGCCACTAAATAAATGAAATGAGGGGTGATGGGAGAGGGGAGTGACAGACGGGTGGTGTAAGAGGGGTCTACCCCATTCTGTCAAAAATTGGGTGGAAAGGGTGAAAAGAGGGTGAAGAAAGGAAGGGCGAAGGGTGAGGAGAGGGATAGGTAGCAAAGGGTGAAGGGAGGGGGAAGGAGAGAGTTCAAAAGGGGGTAGGATAGGGGATGTGGGGAAAGAGGGGGGGGGGTACTCTGAGTCGGGGACGCAGTAGTTACTTTCCGTAACATTTGCTGCTGAGTGTTCCTTCAGGGATACACAACGAAGGGTGTTTGTCAGCAGGGTTTTTCTTTTAGGGTTTGCATCTGGGATGGAGTCAGCAGTGCAGAAGTTATAGGGAGAGAGAGAGAGAGAGAGAGAGAGAGAGAGAGAGAGAGAGAGAGAGAGAGAGAGAGAGAGAGAGAGAGAGAGAGAGAGAGAGAGAGAGAGAGAGAGAGAGAATTACTAATTACACTGTACTATGTACAGAATAACAACTATAATAATTATGATGATTAGAATAATGATGAATAGAATAATAACTGTGTGTGTGTGTGTGTGTGTGTGTGTGTGTGTGTGTGTGTGTGTGTGTGTGTGTGTGTGTGATAATATTGACCTTATAGACCTTGCTCGTCACACATGACCTTCAGCTTCAGGAGTATAGTCTCCTGGCAAACCTTTTAATTCTAGAGTCTAATATTTGCACTTTCTCATTGTCTTGCATGCTTAGGTAGCTTGGGTTACACGCTGGTGCAACAATGTTATTGGTTTAACACAGTGTAAGGCATCCTAAATGACGTCTTGTTCAAGTTCCCGGAGATGGGCCTCATTTTTTTTGGCAAAGTTGCATGTGCTGCTGAGGTTATACAATTTATGTGAGCTTTCATGGGCAGATTTGGTGTGTTGGGTACTTGCAAGTTCTTTTCTTTGGCGGACAATGGGCTCCTTTTCCTTGATAATATATTGCCTCTAGATACTTTTGTTAAGCCCCTCCCCCTGTCTTAAATAGCTTTCTGTTACTGCATCAGGGTTCATATTTCGAAAGGCTTTAAAACATCAAAACTCAGCGCAGCTCAATGTATTACAGTAATATTAAGAAAGTAATAGCGCGAATATGAT